CTTGCATTTATTTCCATATACAGAGGGATAAGCTGAATGAGCTGAGAAGCCTGGAAACAATACATACAGAAATTAGACAATATTTAGTCACCATATCTTTGTTTTATTTTAACTTTTACATATAGCTTTGTTTACAATTTCAAAAAGCTTTAAAAACTTTTAATTAAGCAGGTTTGTGGCTTCTATTGTAACAAGCAGCCAATTATTCCCATTTAGACATTCGGATATTTCGGCTCTCTAGTGGATTAATAAAAAAGCTAAATGTAAAAGAAAATAAATAAAAAAGTATCAGATCACATAAATGAACTTGTGGTAAAGAGGACAAGACATTGGAAGTGGTAAATAATTTTTTAATCTGGTTATAGAAGGCAAAATTCAACGTATTCCAATTGATTGAAATTGGTATCGATATCCACAAAAACAGTTATCAGAACTCATCTAAATCTTTGGTCCATATCTATCTGATTTAGTCACAGATGTTTATGTCATGTGAGTTGAACATTGGTGGGGCGAGGGGGACACAGAAACACAGAAGCAGCCTTTGCTGTGCAGCACTGGGGCTCTGACTGATCTGATCTTTACAGCTTTAATGCCGTATTTCCTGCTATCTATGACACACAGCATCCCAAACTCTGGGGGGGGAACTCAATATTGACACGGTGAGGAAGCTGCCATCGGGTTTCTAAAACAACCTTAAAAACATTGACAAAGTAGCATCTTCTGTTATAGGTCCATTATGTGTGGATTTGCAGAAATTTTTGTAATATTGAGACACAAACAGCGACCCAGTTACTCGTACGCAAAGCTCTCTATAGCTATAATTGGGTTCTATCGTATTGATGCTATTCTTACATGCATGATGAGTAAATCTTTACTCTTCTCAATTATTCCATTTCTATGTGCTTTGATATGTCCTAATTTACACCATTCCCAATCTTGTAGTCCTCACATGGTGTAAGTCATCACATTTGACACATCTAACTCATTGTTTAGGGCTCAGGTGTTTGTTTTTTTATGAATTATGGATCTTTTGTCTCTACACGTCGTAAGTGAAAGGGGACTGGGAGGTCGGCAGAGAGAATCTAACAGCAGCTGAGAGATAATTTCTATCTGCTTCCTCAAATAAAACACATGAATTAAATGAATGCAACAGATGCATGAATTATTCATCCTCCTCCAGTTCTGAATCAGTCTGCCTTTCTCTTTAGCGAGCGAGCTGTACTTCAGAAAATATAAAACCTTAAAAAAGGAATTAAATTCTTTCATTCGTTATAAAGTTTTACTAAAAGTGTAATTTAGTTTCATCCAGAATATGGTAAAAACTAGGGATGGAAGATTTGTTAATTCAGGTTTATTTTTAAAAACTTGAATCGAATACAGATGGAAATATTGTGATATAAACTGTTTAGTAAAATAAATGTTTTTTTTTGGATTTGTGAGTTGATTTTGTTCATTTTTATTTCTCAAAGTTCTTAACTACCAAGAAATATATAAAAAAATATACACAATGCTAAGTATGTGGGAGCTGTTATGTTGAAAGAGACAGTATTATATCTTTTCCAGGCATTTCATATCATAATCCAGTAACTGCGTTACCTTCAGTTGTTATGAAAATACTGTATATGTCAATGTGACTTAAAAGAAATTTAACTTCGTAATTTAATGCCTTGAAATTGAGCTCCTTTCTCTTTAAGAAACTCCTGCTGTTTCTGAAACTCAGGAAGTCATCACAACATGGGTCCTCTATTAATCCTTTAACAATATTTTTACCAATGTTTCACTGGGAAGTCTTGTGTATAGTTAGCTCATCAGGTGTGCAGTTCAACCAGGTGTTTGCTAATTGCTGCTGGCTAGTCTGAAGGGGCTGAGTGACGGAGCCAAAGTGAGGCCTGCTCTGTGAAGCCCATTCCATATATGGATCATGACCATGTAAGGAATGAGAAGATATTTAACTTCATGCTAACAGTCATAGCTAGTTGTAAATGTATTTATATAACAAAATGTTTTGCTATTTGTTTCAAGTTGAGGATCATTTAACTCATTTAACAAACACTCACCAACCATCGAGCTTGAAATTCCCTTCGCAAAAACAAAACATCTTAAAATACACAACCTGAAGTGAAAATATTTTGGACACAACAAAACCAGAAACAAGTCTGCTCAGGTTTGAGTTGTCTTAAAATTACGAAAGTGTGGATTCTGGGTTTTACAATAATGTCATATAAACACATGGAAATAAAACAAAACAAGCTGTTCATTACTACAAGTGTTGTGTGCATTAATAACATTTTAGGGCTACACGTAATTTAGAATCAGACTTGGGTTGCGTTGGCAGGAAAATGACGGTTTTTGCGCTGTTAAATATAATAATGATTCACATATTTCTATCAAATGTTCTCATCTATTGTATTCAAATCATTTTAAATTCAATAAAAATAACAGCCGTTGATGTGCGTGCTGAGCATTACAAGCAAGCCAAGTCTTTAAAAACGAACAGTTCTCTCTACCTATGCGTCTAATAAAACGTTTTTTACATGCAGTACCACAAGGGGGCGCCGGCGGACCTTGAGTGGTCCGGGAGCCACAGTTTGAGAAAGGCAGATTTTACTTTAAATTAAAGGGGCAGATAAAACCCGTCATGCTAAAGTCTCAATTGTCGATTTTTGTATTTCCACATTGCTGGCCTTGTACTTTTATTGTTACTGTGCTGTACTAGCAATGTGAGGAGGAGGGCAAATACTACTACACACTTTGTAACGCCAGAACATTCAATCCATATATTCTTTCAAAAGGGAATATAAACTGGAGGAATGAGATGACAGACAATGTTGGAGGTTTTGAAATTGAGGAGGTGAAAAGCCTGTTTTTCAGATTTTTGGAAGCATTCGCACTCATCACTGTTCTTTGATGAAACATTTTCATTGTTAGGATTCCGACTCCATTAAATAAATGAAAAGAGTCAAAGACTTTCTGTCTCTATTGTCGTCTAACCGGCTGCAGGATTGTGTTTCTTTCTTGTTCCCATAGCAACTTTCTGGTTATAATTACTGCAGTTTGCACCTTTAAATGCTCTTTGGGTTCATAGAGCAGTCATTTATCTATCAGTTTTTAATATAAAATTAGATAAATGTATTTTGAATCATTAAACTGCAGATTAATAATATGTTTATGTTCTTTTGAAAATCAATTGTGATCTTCAGAATGATGTTTGTTCTTGATTAAACAAATTGATTTCTTTGTGCTCCTTAATTATGGACGAGCCTCAATCTTTACCCCAAGTGGTCAAACATTTTCTATCTCAACTACCTAAAAGTAAAGTTGAAGAGCTTGAGTGGTAGCGTTTAGCATACTGAGGTGGTGAGTCACATTCCGAGGGTCAAGAATACACGTCAAATGTGTAGGATGGCAATGTTACCTGAAATAATGTATCTTTGTATAGACAGATTTGAACAGTATTCATGTGAAAATGGCCAAATGTGTTGCAGGGAACAACAAAGAGTTGTAATTAAAGATTAATTTAAAGAGGCTCTACATGTTTTCTAGTCATGCAGATGAACTTCCATAAAGATCTCTTTCTTTCTGCTTCTTCACATTATCCAGGTTAAATCTTCAGTGTGACTTGTACATGAGTTAAGGCGCAGTGTTATTTGATGTTTTTGTGGGCTTTGTTCAGGCTCAGATACTGCAAAGCAGCCGTCCCCATGGAAACGCCACCTATCCCGTCTTTTAATTGCCTCAGAAATGCTCTCAGTGTGATGATTCCGCTAATATATCTGATTTAACCCCCCCTCAGCTTTGATTTCATGCTTGTGTTAGTGCTTAAGAGTGTTGCCATGGCGCACCCAATGGGGCGTTGTTGTTTTAATGGGAGAAACCACTGGGCTGGGCATGCACTTCACAGGACCGGTGCTTCGGCCAGGTCCCTGCTTTCTGCTAACACTTTCAACTTGGCTGGACCCAGATGATACAGCTGAAAAGGTGCAGGACTTTGATTGGAAACACGGCCGTTCCCCTCATTTCGCTCTAATTGTCCTTCTTCTTCCTTCATTTCCGTCCACAATCACTACCCAGGCAATTTTAGTGGCTCACTCAATGCCAGAGTCAGGCACAAATGGAGCAGAATGTTAAGTGTGGAAATAGATAGATAGAGGCTGATGGAACACCATCACTGATAAAGTGGGTGCCACTACACTCACGGCAGGGCGAGCGCATTGCCGGAGTGAATTTACAGGTGAGGCATCTCTGTTGTACCGAGTCCCGGGTTTTGGTATAAGCTCAGAAGCATGAGGGCTGTAGGCCCTCATGCTTCTGAGCCTCACAAGCTACATTTCCATTGCAAATGTGTGCAAAACTTTGTCAGTATTCCGCTAATGTCGAAGAAACACGATTTTGCAACTGCAGTGTTAAGAAACATAGTTAAAATCACACGTGGATAAGTCATTAAAAAACAAGTCGTGCCATCAAACTCCTATCCCATCGTCGTCTTCGTCTTTTCCGCCAGTCGTAACATTTGGTTGTTGATCACGTGACTCGTGTGATGCGGAAAAAGTGTTTCCGTTGCAGCTTTGTGAAATAAAACAAAAACACACGTCACGCTAGTGCAAAAAAAAAAAAATGTAATCAAAAAACGTGTCTGTTTCCAATGAGCAAAACTACTTTCGTCATTCCAATTTCCGCAACTTTAAGTTGCGTTTCCATTGACGTAAAAATAGTGAAGATTGAAATTATGAAAACAGCAAAACTGTCCTTTAAACAGTTGAAAGAAGAAAAAAAAGCTATAGTGAAAGAGGACTAAAGAGGTAAGTTTTGACCAAAATAGCCTTATTTCATTTAAAGAAGAAATGTTATACTTGCAACAAAACACACTGCACATCTTGTCCGACATTAATGTTTCTTTCCAAATGACTGGACCACGATAAGAGCCAAACTCCAACACAGCCTCAACAAACAACAACGTGATGAGTATTATACTTTTCTTTGTTTCTCCTTGTGTTGCCCAGATCCTTGTTGGGGAACTTTGTGCGTTCTTCACCAAGGCAGAGGGAACCCAGGAAAAGACCATAGTCACAGCAGACTGCTGCTACTTCAACCCGCTGCTCAGGCGCATTTTACGCTTCTTAGGTGAGGATGCAGCAAACACAGCATAATACATTGCACCTGCGAGTACTGCTTTTCTCAAAGGACCCTGAAAATGCCCTTGCTGAACCGTTGCAACCTAGTAAAATATTTTATGTAAGTGGCATCCATGAAGTTTTAACATATTTATGATGTTAATAAGAATCTAAATATCTGTCAGTAAATGTCACAATCTTTCTTCTTCATTGCCAGTGATGTTCTTCTGCTAACTTAAAAATTACAAAGTAATTGCCATTTCTTCAGTCATTATTAAATGTAATACACCTTGAATGTGAATTTAAAAAATTATATTTTAATTTATTAATATGAAAACAGCACTTGTTGTAAGATTTTGTACAAGAAAAGCATCTTATATACACCAAAGATGGGCAATGTTCCTGACATCTGTGGATTCTTCAGTGGCTGAAGAAATGCAGTCTGCACTCCATACAGCTACATTGTCATTGCTTGGTAATAATTCAGATTTTTTGATTGTTGTGAAGCTGACACAAAGATTTTATTTATTTATTTTTACATAGTATTTTGTAACTCAGATATTGCATCGATGACCCACGAATATTCTTCAATCTCACTCTAAGCTGCTTACACTGGAGAAGATTCTCTCACCTCAGCATGCTGGCTGCTAGAAACTGGAAGTGAAACTAACAGCGAGGCCTACTTTCTGAAAAGGCCTTCTAAAAGTGATTTCACCACATGCAAAGCATGCATCGAACATTTTAATTTTATGGCAGTTTATCCTTTATGAATTAAAAAATAATAAACAAGAGAATGGTGTCACAGTAAAGGTAATGTACCGTGTCTTGATGCAGCAGGACACTGTGACTCCCATACTCTTAATCCATGAACGTGCCACAGAGTCCCTGAAATGTCCTCACATTTGCACTGCATAAACAGCATTTTTTTTAAAAAATGCTGGCAATACAGGAATCAGTCTTACAGTGAGCTTGTCTTCTTGTGAAAGCTGTACTGTGTCTCATTGAGGCTTGAGGATGAGCCTCAATGAGACAGGATGAATGAAAAACATCAAGAAGCAAGTCAGGCCATCATGAAAGACATTGCCACAACACTTCAGTTTGTCATCCAGTCCTGGTACATGGAGCTGTTAATTGGACGATTAAATGGGCTGTGATGTTGAAGGTAGAACATTCAGGATCCCTGCAGGGAGACTTTCATGAATATTAAGCAGCTTGCGAGTTTGTATCTTGAAATGAATCAGCTGAGGTGAAGACTCCTGCGACGATTTCACACCTTGGCTGATAATAAAGTGTTAGCGCTATTTTGAGAAGAGGGAATGCGGGGTGGGGGAGAGTATCCTGTTTTTTCTCAAGGCATGTGTACAAGATTTGATACTAATCTCCAATATTCGTCATGCTTTCATTTCTTCTCCCATGTGCAAAGATAAAATCTTTAACATCTTATCACCGCATCCACTAACTGCTCCCCACTGCTCCGCTTGCACCCAGGAGTGTATGCCTTCGGCTTGTTCACCACTGCCATTTTCGCCAACGCCGGCCAAGTGGTGACAGGAAACCAGACGCCTCATTTCCTGTCCGCCTGCCGACCAAACTACACAGCGTTGGGCTGCCAGTCGACCACGCAGTACATCACCGAGCGCCGCGCCTGCACGGGCAACCCGCTGATTGTCATGTCTGCGCGTAAATCCTTCCCGTCTAAGGACGCAGCGCTCAGCGTGTACTCTGCCTTGTACACAGTGGTAGGTCGGAGCATGCTGCTGGTCGTAATAACTACAAGTTATTAATTTGTTCCAAGTGAGGCTCCATAGAATGAATGCCTTTGTCATTTAAAAAGAAACACTTACTTGTTATTTGAAAAATCTGTCAAAATGTCCAAAGTTAGCCATAGAACATGCAATTTATGTCACTGCCTTGTGCTTCTTCTGTATGCTGTATCCCTGTTGACCGGCTCTCTGCAGATGTATGTGACCCTGGTGTTTAAAACCAAAGGCACCCGGCTCACCAAGCCCACCATCAGCCTCACTCTGCTGTGCCTGGCCGTGCTGGTGGGAGTGGTGAGGGTCGCCGAGTACCGCAACCACTGGGCCGACGTGCTGGCTGGATTCTTCACCGGTGGCGCCATCGCTGTGTTCTTGGTGAGTCTAAAAGCATGAATGCATTTTTTTTTTAGCCCTTTAACCTTGTTTTATTTTCTCGTGGAATACTCACAAAGTAGGTTTTTAAGTTTTCAATTTGATTGGATATGACACAACCTCATCTCTTATTCTGATATGAACACAAAGAGATTTTGCATGCGGGAAAGTTCATTTTTCAGCACGGCCTTTTAAAGATGAATAGTCAAAGATAATCTTCAAGACTGCAGCTTCGTTGCATTTTAGACGTATCCCTCTGGCCCCCTCAGGATTTTTTTTCTTCCTTTCCAGGTAACTTGCGTCATTAACAACTTCCAACAGTTTCAGCCAAGCCCCCCTCCGCTGCGACCCCAACGTCCTGAATCCATGCTGGGCATACCCATGGTGACGCTACCTTGTGTGGAAAGTCCACTCGAAAAGTTAAGTGGCCCTCAGGTAAGGGGCGGGGATGGGTGTAAAGCACAACTGTACCCACCAAATGGCTGAGATAAACACCCCTTGTCTCTTAACTGGATCTGTTATCCTCCTTTTTTTTTCCTGCCCTGTAACAAAACGGGCGTGCATGCGGCCCATGTTCCCAGCTAAAACTCCCGAGTGAATCCTTTAAATCTGTGCACACTTAAGCGGGCAGCTGAAAAGGGCGTAGCAGGGTTGAATGGATTGTTACCTTAGCATGATTAATTCATTAATCATATGTTGTACAACAAATATTGAATCATCCATTAAAAATACAGTTAATACTCTGTTAGCATAAACAGAAAATAATCACAGGCACAAGCATTTCATTAGCAGTGCTCACAACCCCGTCGAGCCTCTAGATGTGCAAAGCTAGCAAACATGTACCCTGAATCACAATCCAACAAAACCGAAGACAGAAAACTTTTCAGATATTTATTAGTGAAACTTTCAGAACTAAAACAGCTCAATGGAAACACAGTTTTGGAAAACAGTCGCTAAAAAGTTTATGCGCTACGGTGAGGTGGTGTTTCAGTCGTATCAGAATTGTTTTCCGCTAAACTGCGATGGAATTTTGAGTTTTTGCATTACGCCAGTGCGTATTCAGCTCAAAGTGCTTATTTTTGGGCATTGGCCTCTTTGGACAGCCAGCAAAGTGAGACCTTGAGATCAGCGCGAGTCATCAGATTGACTAAAACACAGCGACAGAGCGACAGCAGCAGTCCTGATTGCCCCATAAAGTTTTATCCTCTCCTAAAAAAGTGCTGCATGTCCTAAAGCGATTCTCAGCGGGGGTGCTGTCCGAGTAGCCGTGTTGATGTCTTTCGTCCTCTGTTGGTCTGTCTCCGTCACTAATCCTCGCCTGACCGGTTCTCTTTCCTCTGTCTCCCCACTTTGTCTTCCTCCTCTCGATCTTTCACTCCCCTCCAGCACCCTGCACTCTCTGCCTCCCCGCCACCTTTCAACGCCTACATCCAGCCATTCTAACCAAACCTGAACCCCCTTTTTGTTATGGTCAACCCTCCACTATCTCTGTCTTGTTTCTGTTTGCACATCCTCTCTCTCTCTCTCTTTCTCTCTCTCTCTCTCTCTTTTTCTCCATTACTCCCAACCTTAAACAATCAGTTCATCCGACACATTGCACTGGATTATTCTTCTCTCCACCCTGTCCCTCTGTCCCCTTTGACTTCTTCTCCCCCACCCCCCAACCTCCTCTATCTCTCTCTCCTTCTCACTCCTCTCTCTATCCCTGCAGACTCCGCGGGAATCTCCATTCACAGAGATCACATGACCATCAGCCCTATCGGTTCCCCGCCACCCCCGATGTCCTCGTACCGTCTCGCTCCATTTCCAGCGAAGTCTAGACCAGCCCGAGCAGCAGCACTCGCCACACTGCGCGGCCCACGGGTCGGGCCGGAGCGCCATGCTGCATCGCTCCTATTCCACGCAGGTCTAGGCCCAGCGGACATTAACCCCTTCCCCTCCACGCCCCACAGACTTTCTTAAATGCCGGGGAACCGATAGGAAAACTATTTCAGACTTCTTTCTTAAAATACTGTGAACAATCAGCGGGGAGTCACCCATCTCTGTTGAGCGATTCATTTTTACGTTCTTTTGTATCGAATCAGTCGCAGTGGATTTCTCCTGCTTTGACTTAAGAGATTTTTGTATCGCGAAGTTCACACCTGTGGAACAAGAGGCAGGATCTGACATGTGGGGATGACCTCCGCTACATTGGACCAAAGACACTCGCTGCGGGCAATGTGTCGAACTCTGTTAACATCTTTTTACCAAGCCACACACTAAAAATACTCATAAGCTGCGTTTCCATTAACCATATGATTGCTCAGTTTGACATTTCTGAAAAACACATTTTTCGATGAAAGCGGTGCTACACGCTATTGAATCATGGGGCGTACTTAGATTTGTCTATGTTAGCAATCAAACTTTTTCATAACTATATACCGCAAACATTTTTAATTATAAAGTCCCAGTTTAGATTCTTAACTGTTTAACATGTGTTGGTATTTCATCATGTAATTGCCTAAAGTCATATTTAGGCCATAATGAGAAATCTGCGTCATACTGAGGTCATACTGACCTCTTTACCTTGCTACGTCAAAATACATTTGCTTAATGGAATTTTTTTTTTTTTAAAAGTCGTTTTTTAAAATGTTATGGCGCTAAAATGAGGTGGGGTTTTTTGGGGTTTATTAAAATTAGTTTTATTCGCAAAACTGCAAAAAAAAATTTATTGTATCATACAAGTCATGATCAGCAACAGGATGTTATCTTTTACTCAAATCATGACGAAGACAATGGGAAGTTTTTGGAGCTGAAACATTGCAAACTTGTGGAGGTTTTCTTGACATTAGCGGAACATTGACAACATTTTGTGCACATTTACAATGAAAATGCAGCTGTAAGCACACATTTTTGTTTTTTTTTCTTTCTTCCTGCTCATCTCATCGAACACGCTGCTGACATTTGGGTGGTCCACTCTGCACTGCATGCAGTCCATCTCGAGCAAAGCACACTCAGCAGAAACAACCGACAAAATCAGACAGCAGGAAAAAGCACAGAACCTTTCAGAACCGGTCTTCTTTAGAGCTTTTTTACTCTGAGATGGTCGAAATTTTCCAAACTCTAATGGAAAAAGCATCAGAGTTGCTGACCGCATTAATGTCTTTTTTTGTTGTTGTTGTTGTTCCTCCATGTTGTATGAGATTCTTGTTCAGTCGTTGTTTTGCTGGATTTGGAACATTGTTTTCCCAGGAAAAAAAAAAAAAGTATATTTTTATTCTGCGGATCATCCCTGCAGTGTTGCTCTTCTGAATCATTCTGAAGACTTTATGTTCACTGCTCTGTATATAAGGTAGACGCCATAAGCGCCACATGCGGTGAGACAGTTTTGCTGAATTTGATTTGCACACTCTGCTCCTTCGTCTCCCCTCCCAGACATGGTGCCATCATTGTGCTGTGAAAGGGTTCCCCCTGCTGGATGGCCTGTGCATAAGGACACTAAGGAACAAAGAAAAAACAACAACTTCTCAACATGTTGTCATATTACAATCTTAAATGCATTTTATTAGGATTTTATTGATGATAGACCAAGACAATGCATCGGAAAGCAAGAACTTCTCAAATTTTTCCTGAAAAAAAAAAAAAAATTAAAACCTAACTTTATACCTACCCCCTTTATTGTGACCGATTAAAAATAAATCCAGTGTAATCAGTTTCTTTAATGACATTATTAGTGATTATTCAGTCCACCTGAATTAGCTCCAATTACTAAACAGAACTGAAAGAGGTTGACTAAATATCTGGCAATGATTTACATCAAAGAATATTCACATTTAAAAATGGCCTAATCAAAGTCTAGACCAAAATCCTCTTCATAATTCCAAGCTGTTCAGAGCTGGTGGACTGCATTGTAAAACGCTCCACATGGCCCCTGAAAGGTGGTTCTAGAAAGTTCTGCTTTTCTTGGGGAGGCTAAAAGGAGAATAAATTCAAATGCGCGCCACACTTTTAAGTTTTTCATTCAAGCGTTATTTTCCCTCCACGTCACAAATCTGCATAACTTGGTTTTGGTCCATCATGCAAACTAACCAATAAAATGCATTTGTATTGAGAGGTTAAGATGTTTAAGGGACGCCAACATTTTTGGAACGTCGCTGCACTCTAAAGCACACAAACGCATCACTCGGTGTTGCCGTGCCCGCACTCCTCCACGCCCACTTTCTAACCCTGAATCTTCTTTGTATGATACTGTAAAAAGAGACATTTTTGTACTTGACAGCAGAATTTTTACTCATTTCACTTAATGTTCAAATTGGGTTAAGTCGTGTGGATTTTCAAAACCCATTTTGATGGAGAACGTGGATTCTGACTTTGCAACGCCAAACAGGTTGAGAAAAGTTTAAATGACTCGCCTTTCGTATCCAGCTGTAACTAACCAATGGGAGAGTCTCCTGGGAGTTTCTATGGGATCACACTGTTATGTTGCTTTGGCTAAATCTAAGTACACCCTGGCAGCTTCCACAAGATTTAAAGCTTTTTTATTATTTTTAAAATGATAATAATAATTGGAAAAAAATGTTTTGAAACTGAAATTAAAGATTTGAAAAAAAAAAACAAAAAAAAAACGACTGAATCTGAAAAGTAGTTTTTGGTTTTAAACCTTTTTTTGTTTCAAATATTTTATTTCTGTTTTAAAATGAGTTTTTACCTTCAAATCTTATGTTTTTGCTGTTTCAGTTTGTCATTATTTTGAACAAACTTTGTGGGAAGTTATCCTCTGGGATAATATGGCATATAACGAAGTCCTGTTAACGCATCGGGAGAGATTTTGATGCTAAAAGCGATGATGCATGCTTGTGAATCCTGGGGATGTAGATTCTTCTATGACTGTGTTGGCAAACAAATCTTATTTTTATCATGACTGTAAACTGCAAACTTTTTCAGTCCCATTTTAGGTTACTGATCGAACGCGTGTTTTTATTTCAGTGCTAACTTTCGCGATGTCAGCCTCATAGCATAATTGCCGAAGTTATATTTAGGCCAAATTGAGATATCTGTGCAATATCGATCTCCTCACACTTCTCCATCACCTCAGCCTATCAGGACACTTGTTAACGTCCAAATCAACTTTTTTTCAACTCCCATATTCATGTTTTCTCTCGTTTTCCAAAAACACTAAAACATGGCTTTGACAATTATGCTACGAGGTTAGCGGTGAGTATCATGAACATTTCAACTTCACACATGATTAATTGGGAATGTAAATCTCTTCAGTATGAAGCAGCTGTAGGAATTCCTCAGTTAAACATGGATCATTAGCTGTTTTTCCATTGGCTAAATAATAGCACAATTTGACACATCAAAAATAAATTTTCTCAACGGAAACATGCCAGTGTTAATCAATTGTGGTTTTTGTGGCTTTTTTTTTTTCAAATGTCATATAATGTTTTTATATCAGCATTTATGAGAGAAACTCCATTTGTGTTAACCTTAAAATTTTGTGAACTGAAATCTCAAAAATAAAATAGCTTAATGGAAACACAACAATTTTGGTTAAAAAAAACAAAAAAAAAACTTTTTGGAAGGTTGGAAGGTTGGATGAGGCAGGGGTTTTTTTTTGGCCATAGCAAAATTGGATTATTTTGCAAAGCTGTGATGGAAAAACTTTTTTCACATCATACAAGTCAGAGGATCAACAACCAGACGTTGCCACTGGCACAAACCATGAAGAAGACGACGACAGGAAGTAGTTGGAGGATGGTGGGTGCAGCAGTTTTTTTTTCCATCACTTATTGGTTGAACAGTTTTATTCACATGTGATTTTAACTGCATTTCCTATTTAATCACAATTGAGATATTGTGGAGGGGTTTACATTAGAGGAGTCTTGATAAAGTTTTGCGCACATTTTTAATGGAAACACAGCTATTGCCTGTCAGCTGATGGTATTCACAACGCTCCCAGAAGCTGAAGCTCATGGAAAACAAAAGCTTTCTAAATCAGTGGTCTCTCTTTTCAGTCTTTTAACAGACAACCATCCACAAGACAAACTTTCCAGACTCTTTCCCTCTGCTGATATTTACCTGTTTGTCTGAGCCCAAATGAAAAACTAATCCTCCAAAGTCCAAACGTGAAGTTTGGTGAGATGTTTTCTCCCTCCGCCGTGTCTGTATTTTCTGTCCTTATTTTTCCTCTGCCACGCCCCACTGACGCAGAAAAGCCTTAAAATAATCTCCATGGAGACGTGTAATAACTGGGAGGGTATATGTTCTGCGCTTCGAGTTCAGCGTGTGAGCAATTCCTCTGTCGATCTTCAGATGTGCCGTCGGTGTTCACCGTGGCGCCGCTAAAGAGGTTCAAACGGCGGCACGCCACAAGTCAAACGACCCTCATGAAGATGCAGATTTCTCTTTTTGTTCAGCTTGTCAGCTGCGCCGCTTCGCTTCCCCTGTAAACTCTTCGGCGAACTCGTTAGAAATCAAAGAACAAAACACGCCGAGGTTGACTGATACGTGAACAAAACACTCGTCTCCTCCAGATCCGCAGCTCTGAGGGACGGCCGCGTCTCCTTTGATCCCGTTGCTGCAAACATTCTGTTTTTGTAAGGATTTGTGTGGAGAGAAAAATAAACGGATATTGCAATAAGAAATGGGGCCTGAGTCAGTCTGCGGAGTCTGTTGGCGATTTATGGACGGAGCTGCCTGCCTCTCCACACGGCATGGTGTGGGGTCATTATGTCTGCATAGCTTTATAATGAGCGCAGACGTCAACGTCTGCAAGAAGTATTTGCTCCATTTCTTCTGCTTTTGTGTTTATCGTCACAATTAAATGGTTTTGAACTGAAATATTTGAGCTGCTGACCCCGAAAATGACAAGAGGCTCGTGGCTGTTGGTTGAATTCACAACCAAGTCGATTAAACAACAGACACTTTGCAAACCAAATGCCTTCAAAACCAAACAGCGAGACGTGAACTGCATCAGAATCATCGATTCCTGCTTTCAATCTGCTCTTGTTTGGTTTGGGAGGATTTCACATGAGACATTTGGGAGGATTTCACATGTTTTAACATGAAACATTCAACACTGCCCACGTGGCAGTGTTGCGCATTTACTGAAGGAATCCACAAGATGGCGATGCACGTCATGTACAGGAAGTGGGCAGAGGCATTTCCCAGCTTCCCTTTCAACCTCCTGAAGCGGGAGGAACAATCAGATGGCGGCTGATGAGGCCTGCACCTGTGTAGGCTAATTGGCGAGGAAAAGATTCGTCCTCTTAATGTCACAGATTATTGGAGGAATTACACGTACATAAGTGGCTTTACAACCTTTATGCCGCATGCCTGATTTGCACGGAGCACCTTTCTGACTGATTTTAGGGATTTATGTCTGTGGAACAACTTAAAGGTTTAAGTAAACACAACGTCTAATTGCAGCCGACTCAATTATTCGGGTTTCGACCATGATGCACCTCCGGTGTTGTCCAAAAAGATAAAAAAAACAACAACAAAAAACTTGTTTCTGGTTTTAATTCCATCCTCTTCCTTGTCTCTGCGTCCCAGTCGTATCTGCATGGGAGATTCCTGTTTGCTTCATTGTCAAACAGAACGCTTCTGGATTACTAGTGCAAAATTTTGAAGTAGAGAGGAAATGAGTCAGAATACGAGCCAAACGTTTGGAAACAACTTTAGGTTTTTGTTACCTTTTTTTTTTTGTAAAAGTAATAAAAACACATTTAGCATTTATTTACTGCATGATCAGACTTCATAAAACATTTTTCTCGTTCTCTGAGCAGACACTGATGTTCTCAAAGTATTAGTCAATGGATATTAAAGGGGCAGTATAAATGGCACAGTGCCATTTTATAGTACAATTGAGTCACTGTGCTGACTTCATCAGTTTGTAAAAATGCTGCAGGTATCAAATGAGACTTAAAAGAAAATTTACTTTGTAAATTAACACATTAAAATTGAGCTTCTGTCTCTTTAAGAAACTCTTGCTCTTTCTGAAACTCCCCTTTCAGGAAATAATCAAAACATTAACAATGGTTTTACCAGCGTTTCACTGAGAAGTAGCTCCTATAATGAGCTCGGTTGACGTTCTGTGTTTGCTAATCACTGCTGGCTAGTCTGAAGGAGTTGAGTGAGGGAGCCGAGGGAAAGGGCGGCTCTGTGAGGCAGGATTTCATAGTAGCTTTACCAATCGAAGCAGAAAGCCAATGATGGTGTTCTCTTTTACTCAATCAAACTTGAATATAATTCTCTGTATAATTATAAGGACATTTTCAGCTGTTTTTATGAATAAAATTCACATTGACACCCCCTCATATGCCTCTAATCAGTCACCTTACTCCATGCGTCATTTAATCTCAGTATGAATCCAGGCGTTCTGCAAGAGTCCCAGATGTTTATCAGAGGTCACTCGAGAACAAACAGCATCATGGAGGAACTTAGCACAGATAAAGGTTTTTGAGAAATTTCAACATCTGGTCAAGACTGAGACAATAACATAACAAATGTGCTCCAATCTTTGTCTATATTCCATTAATGTCAAAAAATCACAATTTTGTGATTACGATGTTTCCACTAAATAAGATACATAATCAAAATCACACTGGAATACATTTAACCCTATGTATTTGTACAGTTTTCTCTGGTTTGAAATGTCGTGACATTTTTACCTATCACTTATTATTCGCAGAGATAATTTGACGTATGCGTTGTTAAATTTTCTATCACATCTAAAGCTTTCAGATCTGGAGAGAACATGGCGTCCTGTCTGGTCTGTGAGTAACTGCTTTTCAGATATGTCTCCTGGTAAGGAAAAGGTAAAATAAATAAAGAAGTAACTAAATGAAAATGTTTGATCCAGCACCGAGTCCAGTGGATTTTGAATAGATGATTGAATTGGTCACAGCTGATGGTCAGAATGGAGGAGCTTGATATTGGTGTGGATATAAATCTTGCTGCGAATCTGTTGAAAGGCCTGAAAATGACAGACTCTCTTCATACAATCAGATTAAACTTGAGTTACTTTACGATGATGGTCTTACTTCATTCTTCTTTATTGTTTAACCCAGACTTTGTCTCCTCAATCACCTTAGCTTGAGGTACTAAAAATCTATTTTGGATCATCTGGCTTGGTGACAATACTCTTTCTGGGGGCTTTTTTTTTCTCGTCTGTGGAGGCGCTGCACCAAGAACCACTGAAGAAAACACTGAGTGCAACTTCCTTCGTCACAAAATGGTCCGTTTTTAGTGGTTGTAGGATTTCTCTTTTGTCTCTTTGGCTAATGAACACAATACATTTCTCCTGCTGGTACTGGCAATACAGGGGTTTGTTTTGGTTGTATTAACCCAGAATGCCTGGCGCTACAGTCCACTTGGCGTTCACATATGCATTCTAACCGCACCAGAGTTCACTATTAGCGGAGCCGATACCTAAGATTTGTCTTTGGGAGGAGACCACCAGTCACTTCTTCGGCTAGTGCTGGGCTAGCACATTTGTTTTGGTTGTGTTTACCCTGAAAGCCCAGCACTATTTCACGCTTCCTGCTTTTGAAGCGGTCGCCGGTGCAGTTGGCGTTCAATCAGCCCCAGATTTCACCTCAAGAACCAAAACCAAGATTTTTAGGCAAACCAGAGATCGTTTTATTGGTCCGCATCAGAGTTCAGATCTTCCCAAATGAACTAGAGTTTGACTATAGCGTACTAAAGAGGCCTGGTGTGAATGCTCCCTAGAAAACAAACTTTTATGCAACCAATCAAACTCCAAAACACTTGCAGCTTCAAATGTACACCTGACTTGTCAGAAGAAAAAACACACAAAAAAAGTAATGCCACATCTTTCAGACTCTTATTTGCGAAACAAAACGTTGAAAACACACTGATCATTTTCCTTCCACTGCCCCAACTACATTCACCATATGCGTTTTTGTCACAGGACACGACTTCTCTGGGTGTGAATAGTTTTGCCAGGCATTGTGTGCCGCCATTTTGCTGCAGCCAGATTCAGCTGCGTTTTTCTGAGTGCGGAGCTACCAGGAAAAAGAGACATCTGCTTTGTCTGCAGCCAAGGACACATCCCTAGAAAAAAAAAATAAATCACAAGTTTAATGAGCTGAAAATTTTCCATTACTATCACTTAAAATTACGAAGAAGCTCCAACCAATAAAAGAAGAGATTTCTGCCTCTGGTTATTTTTTATATATATATATATATATCACTTCTCTGCATGTAGAAATAATTGCGCTGTAGTCCAGCTAAAGCGCTGTGTGTCTTCTCTCGGCTGTGTCACAATGTCAGATGTCTCCTTCTAAAACTCACAACAAGGCATGAAACGTCTTCACTCCGAGCGCCGGCGTGATTTTTATGGAAAAGAAATGAAGCGGCGTTGTTCTGAATC